TCATTGGTTGCAGAGTAGGCGCAGTCTACGTGACGACCTTTGGGATGCCATGCCTGAATGCATGTAACATTATTGGAGGTGATGGGAGGATGCTTACAAGTTACAGTGTAGGTGCAAAGTAGGCGCAGGCTGGATGGCAGCCTAGGGGGTTACATATCTGCATGCATGTAACACGATTGGACATTAAGGGAGGCGCCATTGAACTTGGCGAAAGAGTACAAAAATGAAAGGTGTCGCCATCCCAATTGGTGAATAAGAGGTGTCATTGGTTGCAGAGTAGGCACAAGCTACGTGACAGCCTTTGGGATACCATACCTGAATGCATGTAACACTATTGGAAGTGATAGGAGGATGCTTACAAGTTACAGTGTAGGTTCAGAGTAGGCGCAGGCTGGATGGCAGCCTAGGGGGTTACATATCTGCATGCATGTAACACGATTGGACATTAAGAGAGGCGCCATTGAACTTAGAGAAAGAGTACAAAAATGAAAGGTGTCGCCATTCCAATTGGCGAATAAGAGGTGTCATTGGTTGTAGAGTAGGCGCAGGCTACATGACAACCTTTGGGTTACATCCTTACTTAATTCAAATTCAGTATGACCTATTTAGTCTTACGTTTATCATAACACTGATTCACTTAATCTATCAAACCTTCCAACCTTCAAACGTTCATACAATCAAACCTTCAAACCTTCATCAAACAATCAAACATAAAAACCTTCGAATAACTCATAAACTTCAAACATTCTAACCTTCAAACCTTACAACCTTCAAACCTTCATACAATCAATAAACTTCAAACATACAAACCTTCGAATAACTCATAAACTTCAAACATTCCAACCTTCAAACCTTACAACCTTCAAACCTTCATACAATCAATAATCTTCAAACATACAAACCTTCGAATAACTCATAAACTTCAAACATTCCAACCTTCAAATCTTCAAACAACCCTACACAATGGCCTCTGCACCACAATATGTCATCAATGCACATTTCAACGGTGAGACATACATTTGTCCCACATATGGGTTTTTGTTTAGAGACACAGACAACATCCGATTTCTTTTAAACGGGAAAGCCAATTTCTCGTACTTCAAAAAATGATTGGAGGCCAAACTTGGACGAGGTCCGGTGACACAAATATTTTATCAGAACCCAGTTTTTTTTTGGAAACAACTAAATAAATTTGTATAAGGTTAAGGTTCAAGATGACGAGGATCTCCAGAATATGTTTTCCAGCCATGTGCATTCTGGGTACGACTCTATTGAGTTGTACATTATGCTGCGAGAGTCTCAGGTGACACAAGTGGTTGATCCTTTGGAGAATGAACAAGCTGAGATAGATGCAGTTGATGAAGAAGAAGAAGATGACGAGTTAGAGTTTGATGAAATGGTGAATGATGATTCCGACGATGATGGCATACCTAGTATTCCTGCAAACGAGATCTACACACTACCTCCGCGATGATGACAAACTTCAACATGAGCGGAGATGAACCATCTCACTTGGTTAAAAGTGAGAGGAGGCGCCTAGGGCAAAACCCTAGGTGGAGGCGCCAAGTGAGATGGCTCCTCCTTTGGGGAGTCATATGGTTATTTGCATAATTTTTTCTGAAACGTGGTTATTTGCGAAATTTTATTTTAATACCTGGTTATTGTAAAAAAAAGTTCAAAATATTACATATTTTATTATTATTATTTAATATTTATACTAAAATATGTATATTTTATTATTATTGGTTACTAAAATATGTTCTCTTGAGAATTGGACCGAAATAATAATTGGATAAATTCAGATCGGATCAAAATAGTGATAGATTTTTTTTGGGACCGAAATCGGACCAGTACTTTCTGGTATTTATCATGTATTTGGTCTGAATCAGACCAAAATTTGTGTTGATCTAGAATTTAGATAGAAGAATATATACTAATCACTATTGAATACTTATTTGACATTTAATCCGATTCTATTATTGAATATCAAGCAAAAAAGTTATCAATTTCCAGACCGAATAGTATTTTGAGCGGTCTATTGCTCCAATTCTATCGGTCCAATTCTCAATCCAGATCTCATATAATAAAACTCAAATAGAGTCCTAACCTGAGTTCCACACCTTCAAACCTTAAACTCTTAATTATCTAAGTTTAATTTCCGATCGGATGTTAATTACCTTGGTTGTAATTATTAGATACTTTATTTTTTTATATAATTTACAATAGTAATAAATTGATCTTTACTAATTTTTTTTTGTTGAATAAATAAACTCATTTTAACAATATTATTGTAAACCTAGCCGCCGCTGCTTCTTCATCTCCCTGGTAGTGATTTTTCATTTCTTCTTCACCATACCTTCTCCTTCCGCCGTGTTTCTTCCAGGTTTCTCTCTCTAATCATTTTTTAAAGCACACAGATCCTCTCCTGTTGTTTATATTCTGCCATCCATGCTGCCTCTTATCCAATGGTGCAGATTGGAGCAGAACTGAGGGCAGAAGAGAAACAAACGGAGAGGATCCAGATCTTTTTTTGAACATTCTTCGTTATAGCGGTTGCGAAACTCCTCGACGGCAGCTACTTGCACCGTCTTGAAAAACATCCGAGGCAACCGCCACTGTGATGACAGCGGCCTCTTCGCACCGCCTTGATCGCGCCTTTATTGGCCGCAACTAACCGCCACCGCCTTGATCGCGCCTATATTGGCCGCAACTAACCGCCACCGCCTTGATAGCGCCTCTATTGGCCGCAACTAACCGCGTATATTCTATTGAAATAAAATAATTGTTTATCTAAGTATTAGGGTTTATGTTATTTGATTTGATTCTTGGATGTTTTATACTTTCTCATAGTGGAATGTTATTATTATCTGTTCAATGTTAGGTTTATTAGAGATGGCTGGAGAAGCTGGTATGTTCACGGTTCAACAAACAACTGGAAGTGTTTTGTGTTGCAAATGCGGGATTCGAATGCAACCAAATGCAGCCAATATGTGTGTCAAGTGTCTGCGCTCCGAAGTTGATATTACCGAAGGTTTACTCAAGCGACTCGTGCTTGTTCATTGCCCTGACTGCGAAAGTTACTTGCAGCCACCAAGGACTTGGGTCAAACTTCAATTAGAATCAAAGGAGTTGTTAACATTTTGCTTGAAAAGGTTGCAGAAGAATATGAATATCAACAAAGCAAAGTTGGTTAATGCCGAGTTTATTTGGACCGAGCCACATTCCAAGAGGGTCAAAGTCAAGGTCAGTGTTCAGAAGGAGGTTTATCATGGCGCCATTCTCGAACAGTCTTATCTTGTCGAGTATGTTCAACAGGATCACATGTGTGAGTCTTGTTCCAAGGTTGCCGCTAATCCTGATCAGTGGGTTGCTGCTGTGCAACTCAGGCAGCATGTGTCTCATAGGCGCACTTTCTTTTATTTGGAGCAGTTGATTCTCAAGCATGGTGCTGCTGCTCGTGCTGTCCGGATCAAACAGATGGATCATGGTATTGATTTTTATTTCACCAGTCGAAGTCATGGTAACAAGTTTGTTGAGTTTATTGGGAAAGTATCTCCTATAAGGAGTCGTAGCGATAAGCAACTTGTTTCTCATGATGTCAAGAGTAGTATTTATAATTATAAATACACTTTCTCTGTTGAAATCAGTCCCATTTGTCGTGAGGATTTGATTTGTTTACCTCCGAAAGCTGCCGGAACCTTGGGAAATATCGGTCCTATTGTGATTTGCACCAAGGTTACTAACAGCATTGCTTTGCTTGATCCACATACCCTCAAATTTGGGTTCTTAGATGCTGATCAGTATTGGAGGACATCCTTTAAGTCCTTACTAACTAGCAGACAGTTAGTGGAATACATCGTGTTGGATATTGAGCCTGTTTCATCCGAGGTTATTGTTGGTGGCACGAAATATGTTTTAGCTGATGCTCAAGTGGCTCGTGTATCTGATTTCGGAAAGAATGACATAATGTTTAATATCAAAACTCACTTGGGCCATCTTTTAAAGCCTGGTGACTTAGCACTTGGTTATGACTTGTATAGTGCTAACACCAATGACATGGAATTGGACAAATACAGAGGTTATATCCCTGAAGTGGTTTTAATAAAGAAGAGTTATGAAGAGAAACGGCAGAGGCGACGCCCGAAGCCTCGGTCATGGAAGCTTAAGTCACTTGTCATGGAAGTTGATGAGAAGGTTAATGAAGATAAGGTGGCCTCAGAATATGAACAGTTCTTGAAAGACATTGAAGAAAACCCAGAATTGCGGTTCAACATATCTTTATACCAAAATAAAGACTATCAGCCATCTGAGGTGTCATCTGTAGTTGATGGTGAAGAGCTGCCTTCTGTTCCATTCAGTGAGTTGCTGGCTGAGCTTGACGATCTTGAACTGAGAGATGACGGCGACGATGATGATGATAAGGATAGCATGGCAGAATAAGCCAAATTCACTCTTACTCCGAAGTAGAAATTTGCGTGTATTAAATCTTAGTTTTGATGTCAAAAGTACTCATTTTTGTCTGGGCTGTTTTAATTTTCAAACTGTGTTGATGTTTTTATTTACTGCAAGAATGAGAGAATGGTTATTTTTCAGATATAGCAATAATATATATAATTACTATTTTGTTTTAGCTGTTAATTTTCTCTTACTAACCATCCAATGAAACCAATTCTTTATGGAGAGTCTTTTTCATTTCTACAATCACAATCGTTTCACTTTCAAGGTCTCTGGCCAGGACAAGGGAGACTATGATTGTCAGGTGAGAACACAGGCAACAAACTTGTCCAAATTGCAGTTTTCTTTCAAGTTAGCTTGCCTGAATTTTATCTCCATCCTTTCTCTATTTAAGTTTTTATTGGTAATTTTAGCATTGCTTTCATAACTTATGTGGCCGTTTTTTTTCTTCTTTTTATAAGGTGTGTTTGTTTTGTGGAATTTAGTAATATTCTTTGTGCAACCATTCGGTATATAACCATTCAGTTTTCCAAAGGAGTTACCGGATGTTGAATTCAGGATTTTGTAATTCTTCCAAAGTTATTGGAAGTTATTATTCCAATGGTATGTGAAAATCTGTTGAGGACATGCTGGTTTTTTTTCTCTTGCTGCTTAGATTAGATGACTTCACTGTTATTGAAGGTTTTAAAAATGGCCGCAATTGCGACACTGATTGCGGCTGTCACAGTGTGAATTAGCCACAATTTTGTTCTTTTAACATAAAAGTGTGACTATCGGTATCATTATCAGCACCTCTGCAAGTACCGTTTTGTTTTGGCGGTTTTCGTGGTTGCAGACTGTTTTTTAGAACCTTATTGGTGTAATTCTAGTTTGCATTGAAAGTTGAATTGAGACTTTGCAGACTGTTTTTTAGAACCTTATTGGTGTAATTCTAGTTTGCATTTGAAAGTTGATTTGAGACTTTTCTTTCACTTTATAAAAGATAAATTAGATTGATGTTGGACTTTTCTGCTAGTGCTTTTGCTATCTTTTCACATCCTATACAAAATGCAGTTGGAAATGGTGTTAATTTGAAGAACTGGGTGCTACTGGGAGCAGCAAATACTTATTTTGGGGCATCTAGATCCATTCATGGCTCAGGTATAAATAAAATCCATGTTAAATTATGTGTTATGTTTCATTCACAATTTTGTTATGTAGGACTTGCGTTGTGTATTATAGTGGCCTCGTCATTTTTTTTCCGGTGTCTTTATCATCTATGAATATATGTAGCAGTGTATGCGTATTTGTTTTTTGTCAATAACATGTCACTGACTTTTTTTATATCACCTTTACTTTTTTCAGCGCCTTTGGCAAGAGACTTTTATGATCTTCTTGTAGTTAATAAAAATGCAGGTTCTTCTGAAATAAAGAAAGCATACTATGGGGTAGGTTTTACTTAACTATTGTTAATATATTATCTAGTTTGAATTGCATGAGGAAGAGTTTTTAGACCACGTTACTCAATATTGAAAGAGTTTTAATTTGCATTTGAATTCTGCACTTGATACAATTTCTACGTTTATCTTAGCCAGAATATATGTGATCTTGTTTTATTTTAGAGGTTGCATTTTGCACATGTTCTATGCTATGCCTAAATAGTTGTGAATATATCGCAGTTACATGACATTCTTTATTCTTTCTTTCTTCACATATGGTCTTCAATCACCAAACATATTTTTGACAAGCATGAGTTATTTGCACGAAATGATTCTAATTATCAGTCTCTCTTTATGTTCTTCAGCTTTCAAAAAAGCTACATCCTGACACACACAAAGATGATCCTGAAGCTGAAAAGAAATTTCAAGAAGTTTCATTGGCATATGAGGTGTACCCTTGTTCTGGATGCCATTTAATTGTTTACATAAAATCATTGTATGATTTGTGAACTGACTTTTGGTCTATTGACCTTCCCCATTTTTTTTTGTAATTGCACCGTAGGTTTTGAAGGACGAGGTTACGCGCCAACAATATGACCAGGTTTCATTTCGTTCCAGAATTTTTCTCTATGGCTCCTTTGTTGAATGTTTTATCTTGTTTCTATATTGAGATAAATAGTAGGATTAGTAATTGATTTTGCTATTTATTAATCATATCTTTTAGTAGATCTCTCTTTCCTTTTTATTAGGCCAGTTGCATTACAGTATATATTTCAGTGTTATAACTGGTTTGAAATTTGAGAGTCGTCACACTTAATTTTTATCTTAAGGAAGGAAATATAAAGGATAACTCTAAAAAGTTAGAGATCCTAGATTTTTAGACTCGGTTCTAGACGGAGAGAAGGTGTTAGACACCCCTCATCTATTTTGTTCGCAAGGATACTAGAGTTAGAAGCGCAATTTTTAGAAAATAGGATTTTAATGTTTATTACGGGAACGTGTCATGATTTTAATCGTTATGCGTACGTATCCTCTTAGGAGGAATCATAGTCTCATTTCGTAGTTAGCATGTGCCTGAATACAAATATTGAATTCAGACTCAAAAGACATTTTTAAACTAGAAAGGAAAATGGGGGCACAAAGAACCAGGGCCAAAGTTTAGATTTTGGACTTGATCCGTTTGGCCTGGGGTGTGCGTTTTGCGTTGGTGTTAGTAAAAACAAGAAAACACAGGGTGTATTAGTAATGGGCCAAGTCCAACACAAGTTTGAGTCTGTTTGAATTGTATGTAGACAGGATCACCGCAAGATCACTACAAGATCATAGGTGCGCACTTTTTGGAGCGTTCAATAGAAATTATGTGGACACGATGGAAGGAATATGATAATACGCGTGTGGTGAAAACACTTGATTACTAATCTTATATTTTCATCTTAACGAAACATTTAATTCTTTACTTATTCCTCTCTCTCTTCACCCGTCTGCTTTCTCTCTTCTCACAACAACTAAAGCCCTCTTTTCAATAAACCAAAATCTTAGCCCAAAAAAAAAACTGATCCCGAGGGCGGCTTCATCCAACCTAAAATTTACACACGGCTACATCCCTTGTAAAAGAACAAAACACATGCTAAGCAATTTCGTTACCTCGTTGTCTTTGATCACGATCTATCCTTGTTTTGTTGAGCGAATGTCTCGTTAACCTCTTTAGTTTGTTTTGCAGGTGAGGATGACAACGAGGATGGTGAACGCACATAGTGGATGATGATGATGAAGAAGGTGGTGTCGGACTTAGGGTTTCAGATATTGAAACCTTAAGTTGGAGTGGTGGATTGACAACGGCAATAGGAAGACAAAGCTTTAGAAATTCCTTTCTCCGTAAACTTATTGGTGCCCTAATTTCTTCGCGCAAATTTCTCTCTAATTCTCTCTGTAATGATTTTTTCTGTAGATTCTTGTCAATTTTTCGTCCCTTTCTGTTCTTAGTTTTTTAGGTTTTATAGTAGATTAATCTTTTAGAAAATAAATAAGTCTGTCTGTAGATTAAATTAGGTTCTTTATTTTTGATTTTGATTAGCAAATTAGTATTGATGTTGTAATTGTATTGATTTTGTATTGATGAAGATTCAAAGAATAGAAATTTGATTCTGTTATGTTCTGTATTGTTTTAAGGCATGCGTTTTCCTTTGATTAAATGTACTCTAAAAACAATAATAATGATTAATAAAATAATAATAATAATATTAAATGTACTCTAAAAACAATAATAATGATTAATAAAATAATAATAATAATAATAATCTAAAAATAATTTTCAAAACAGTTTAACGGACTAAACGGGCCGTACTGTTTTATTATTGAGTCTCAAAAACAGATTGCTTTTTATATAAAAAAATAATTTAAATGGACCTTATGATTTAAAGGTCTTTTTCTTGGTCTTTGTTATTTTCTTTTCGAAATAATAATTTAATCAATTCAAACTAAAAAAAATGGAGCAAAAGGTAAATTCCTAGACTCTGAAATTGAAACAATATCAACATTCAATTTGTATTACTATAGTGATTCAGAAATTGAAAAAAGAGAGGTAAAGATGCAGATTTGTGTGAAGAAGGAAACTGCCAGGAATGAGGAGTTGTTGAACCAAAACCTGGTTTTCAGGATTCCCTCGCCAACCTTCAAATTAGTATTCTCTGCCTTCCGTCTTCTCAGGTTACTTCTATATTATTTTCCATCTTTTTAGTGTCGATTTATAAAACATGACAAATAATATCGACATTGAAATCCACGGTCACTTTTCATATTATTAGGAAGAAAAAAACTAACATTGAAGTCTACACTTTAATTATTGGGTACCTACCATGAACTGACAGGGTCAAAGGTTTTCTTGAAAAAGCTGTTGTTAGTGCTCAAGAAAGTCAAGCATATGGATGGAGAAAGTTGTAGTGATGTTGAGTTACAGGTTGTTGGAATCATTAGACACAAGATTTTGTTTAAGACCGGACCAAAGACCTTCATTTCTAGTAAGATCTGAATGTTGTTTATTAACATTATCCGTTATTGTACCATGTCCTTTAATATATATAATTGATGATATTTCTAAAGGAGAATGATTTTAGTGTCGTAGACCTAGTCCTGTTTTACATTTCTCTGTTATTTCTCCTCCATTTGTACTTCTATTCAGCTTCTTAATTATTGTTTGTATGGCTAACAAATATCACTAATTGATATTGATGGCTAAAAGAAAGAAGAGGCATAGGAATCCCACAAATAGAAGGTGGAAGGTGTAAGGATTATGTTTTATGCTTAATGTTCTTATATTTATATGAAATGTTATAACATTTATAATTTATATGAAATGTTATAACATTTATAATTTATAACTGAAACATTATTAGCATCTCACTATATTGATCCAATGTCAAATTATATATAACAACACAGATAAAATGATTAATTATAGACTGATTAATTATAGACTTCTTTACAAGTAGTGGACGTGCAAGAGTGGTTATCGGGCATGACTAGAAATCATCGTCCACGGATTTTTGATAGAATTTTTTGCAAATGAAGGAAAAAACTGAAAATAAAAAAAAAAACGCTAGAAGGAGGGGTTGAACCTCCGACCTTGTGGTTAACAGCCACACGCTCTAACCAACTGAGCTATTCCAGCTATGGTGTTTAAAATTTGACTTGTAATTTTTTACATCAACACATTTCTCAATTTATGAATTAATTATAAATTTACATTAAAGTGAAACTCAGCCTGCCATGTACTAGGCATCAAAATATTGTGTCAGGAATCTGTTGAAAATATATTAAAATGCATATGAAAATGAAAGTATCGTATTAAGTATGAACATTGTATGTTTTGATGTGAGTATTGTCTTTGAGTTGCTATCTACATTAGTGGAGGTTGAGAGCGATGTGAGGGCTGGAGGCAACTGTTTTGGGCCATCCATAACCCTTTAAGCCTGGTCACCTCGAGATAGTCCATTCCGGACCAAAACTTCTTGACCGACGACACAACTATATTCTTGGAAGTCTTCATTTTTCCCACATGACTATTCTGTACCTCGTTGCAGGAGATCTACGCCCCAGTAAATCTATACTGCATCTTTCTTTGATTTGTTTCATTTCCATGCCTTTTCTTTTTAACTACACTTCAATTTAATGCCACGGAATTTTTGGGTTTTTGAAAAAAAAAAAGAGTTGCTGGTACATTATGCATTATGAGCAACAATGGGGCGTGGTGTTAAATAATAGAGTTGCAGAAATGGTAAAGCCATAATTCTTGAGAACCCACAGTGGCTTGTTGGTATTGTATGAACCATCAACTTCTGGAATGAAAGCTGCAAAGTCTCTTTGGGGATCAATCAAGAACTTCTTAAGGTAGGTATCGACAGAGCTGTGTATGTGCTAAATCTGGTTGAATATAAACAACCATTGTTGTTTCACATTTGCAATATTCTGAGTAGAAATCGTTTATGAGTAATCGACACCTACTTCTTTATGTACAGGAAAGGAAACTCCGAAGAAAGGTTTGCATCAATTTGCCATTCATCAACTATGTTATGGAAATTTGACCACCCAAATTATTTAATTCCACATTCCATTTTTGTTGTTCTATTTATAACTTGGATTTTTAAATCTATAGCAAAGTCTAAGAACTTGAAAAGAACCTAATCCTTAGTATATAGAATCGAACACAGCAAATAGAAAGGTTTTGGTTCCAAAATTTGAGAGAACCATCCTCCATCCTATTGCATTTTCAAACAAGGGTTGGTGATTTCCAAAAATGTCACCTAACATGAGTGAGTTGAATTAACTATCCTTTATGTTCTTCTCCTATTGTATAGAATTTGTTGCAAATATTAACATTTAGTGTCTTTTTGAATAATCTAGAATGGAGCGGAAAGAAATAGAACAGAACAAAAATTCTATTTTATTATTTGAATATTTTACGACGGAACGGAACCAATACCTCATTCTATTGTTTGAAAATAGGACGGAGCAAAAAGAATTATAATTTTATTTATTTCATTTTTATCCTTTACTTTAAAAACATTAATATGATTAATGTGAAATTTTAGAGGATAAAATTGAAATTGTGTTATTAGTTTATTTTATTTTATTGGATATACTCCAATTTGGGTGAAATGAAAAAAAACTAAAATAGTGGTATTTAATAGAAGGAGTCAATTTGGATGAAATGAAAAAAGGATTAAAATAGTATTATTTGATAGAATGAGTTCCATCACATTTCATTTATTTCTTGTAAAACTAAACAGTAAAATATAACATCATTCAATTTCATTCATTTCCATTGATCCAAACATATCATTAAGATTATTCAATTTCATTCATTTTCATCGATCCAAACATATCATTAAAATTATTTTATTTTATTAGTACGAGGCTTAATAAAAAACCTAGATTTATATTTATCATTAAGATTATTTTATTAGTACGAGGCTTAAACGTAGATTTATATTTGTCTCTATTTAAGTTAATTTATTTTTCAATTGTAAATCACAATTTTGAAATACATGAAAATACTTTTTCTATATAATAATGAACTCCTGATTTTAGAGGTCTTACTTTCACTTAAATCCTAATCCTTATCACTGCCGTTTATTTTGTTTTCGTCTTAAGTGTAAGGCCTTTGTTTGTCTTAAGTGTAAGGCTGTTGTTTGAAATTATGCTGTTATTTTTACTATTCACGTGTCATTGTTGTTCATCTGCGACACTGTTTACGGTGTGTGTATTCTTTATTTGTGATTTAGTTCATCTCAGAGTATTGTTCAAGACCCCATATGTCAATTTCTTATTGGCGTTGGTCCTTACTATCAAAGTTCCGTTAAAAAAACGCTTATATGACAAATGTCGATGTCGTGGCGGTCATTTTTTTCTTTTTTTATTATTCAGTCATTTCACATAAATTTTTTTTGGTTTGTTTTTTTGGTTTGTCTTTTCTAAATAAAGTTGCTATAATTAAAACATGAATAATAGTTTTGATAATAATAATATAATTTACAATAAAAAAACTTGAAATGGGTTCAGCATCTCACCTTGGGCCTTTAAAAACGAAATATTTATACACTTTCTTGGTTGCAACCTACACCCTTTTAAGTAATAGCATACTCTCTTTTTAGAACAGGTCCAAATGAAAATTTAACTAACAAAAATCTTCTTTTTTTTACTTGAAATGGAACTTTTAAAAATCTACCGAGTCATCAGATATTGATAATCCATTTTGGATTAATACACCCTTCTTTGATTTTAAATACTCCTAGAAATAAGACCTATATATTATACTATGATGGTAGGATAAATTTGAAATATAACATATAATTTAATATTTTATTGTTAAATGTTTTAACCTAATCATCCAACTGCATCAGTTTTACTAGTTCATTCTTAAGGCTGCAAACAGAATGATCAACTGAGTTATAAAAAAAGTTGTGTAAATATGCATGCTTAAGAATCAACAGTACAATCATATATTTTTCGGTAAAAAGCATGTTACGTTGTACTATGGATTTTTAATTGTATTTTTTCTTTTCATCATTAGTAGAAATTTTGTAAATTATTTGTCTCAATAAATTTTCTCGAGTTATTATCACATTGAAGACTAATATGTATTTTACTTCTCTGTTTATTTATATATCACATTGAAGACTAATATGTATTTTACTTCTCTGTTTATCATCTCAATGGCGATCGGGATTTTGTCAAGAACTTCTTTCATCAGAATATTGAAGGACA